GGGAAGGCTAAAGGAGTCCTAACCACCCCCTTCCTGCACCCCCAGCCATCTGTTTCTCACAGGTCTCCCCTCGCAAACCTTGGAACTTGGGAAAACAGGGCAGAACGGAAATAGAATCCCCTTTTAGGGGAGAAATGAAGGCAAGATAGGTATGAAGAAGTGTCATTCCTCCCCCCCCAGCCGTCCTGGTTTCCTCAGTCAGTCAGGAGGAGGCCTTTGGACTTCCCTCTGAACAACAGGGAGTCTTAGGACTGAGGCAGCTGTGTTCTCTCCAGCTGAGCTGCTGTGTGGTGAAGCAGTGCGTGTGTTTTCTCTCGCTGTTTACTGGACTGCCAGAAGCTAGGCTTTTATTTGTTTGCTTGTTTGTTTGTTTGTTTGTATGTGCGCTGGTGGTTTGCCCTCATGTGTTTCTGGGTGAGGGTGTTGGGTCCCCTGGAACTGGAGTTATAGACAGCTGTGAGTTGAGTTGCCATGTGGGTGCTAAGAATTGAACCCAGGTCCTCTGGAAGATCCGTCAGTGCTCCTAACCACTGAGTCATCTCTCCAGCCCCTGGAGTGCACACCTTTAATCCCCAGTGCTTCAGAAGCAGAGGCAGACTTTTGTGTGTGTGTGTATGTATGTATGTATCCTTTGAAAATTGCATTCTCTGGTCTTCAAGTTTCTGAAGAAAATATTCTTAACTTCTGAGCCATCTCTAGCCTCAGTTTGGTTTTTGAGGCAGGATCTTGTTATGTTGCTTAAGTCGGCACCCAAGTCCTGAGCTCAAGGGATATGCCTGTTTCATGCGAATATGCAGTGTGTATCGGTCATAAGTCACACCCACCCACCACCTCCTTGTGCCCCAATCCCCCAGCTCCTCCTTGTGCCCCACCCATAACCCTCCAACTTCATGTTTATTTATTTATTTTCTTACTAACGACCCCGAGTTCAGGTAGTGCGGCCCATACAGACATGGGTGTGACCATCCACTGAGGCATGAACAACCTACGGGCAGCCATGTCCTCAGAGAATGACTGTCCCTTATCAGCCATGAGCTGCCAATAGTTTGTCCACCTCTCCCAGCCATGCTGGAATGGTACTTATCTTTTTATTTACTGGGTTTTGAGACAGGGTTTCTGTAGCCCTGGCTGTCCTGGAACTCACTCTGTAGTCCAGGCTGGCCTGGAGCTCAGAGATCCTCCTCACCTACCTCTGCCTCCCTCTGGGATTAAAGGTGTGTGCTCCCGCCCCCTGGCACCATGCTGAAGCACGCCCCACCCCCTGGCACCATGCTGGAGTATGCCCTGCCCCCTGGCACCATGCTGGGATTTTATTGGCTTGATCTTGTGCAGGTAGCTACAGCTGGTGTGCGTTCACGTGTGCATCATCCATGCCATGTGCAGATGCCCGCATTTTCTAGGTCTTCCTCCATCAGGGAGTGCTTGCGTTTATCCCTCCCCCCCCACCACAGTGGTTCTTGAGGTTTGATGGAAATTAATACAAGTGATTTATTCTCAGCTGCTCACTCACAGGAACTTATACTCTGCACTCTGACCAGTTGTGTCTCTGCCTTAACCACTACCACTACTAGAAACAGAAGCTTCTATGACTAAAGTTAAGAGCAAGAGAGCATCAGAAATGTCTGGGTATAAACATAAGTATTTACAGTGCAGTTTGTAAGATGCAATGGCAAGTCCATTTATTTAGCAAAACAACAGCAGGTGCGCCCCATCCCCAGCGCCTGTGATCGCCCTAGCAATGGGCTTTTGACCAGCTTTGAACCGCTCCTGCAGAGCAGGCCTAATGGCCGATCAGAACATGCTCAGTTACTACTGCAGGGTTCAGTGCTGGGTGAGTCTTGGCAGCGTTTACCCCTCAGCAGCCTGCGTAGCAGCTTTTGGCCAATGTAAGCTGGATAGCAGGGAGGGGACCCTCTGCACCTCCATGACACCTGATGTAGAAATTTGATGCCAGGATTAAAAATGGCACCTTAATTACACCTTTGAACTCTCTTTGCGGTGGTTCTTAGACAGTGGCTTTGTCCCAGGGGACAGGGCTCTCAGGGTGGGGGCACATCCTCAGAATGCTGCTGCAACACTAAGGAAGCTCACTTGCCCCAACCCTTGATAGAGCTGAGGCACAGACAAATACAGAGGAAGAAAATACGGAGGAAGACCCAGCACAGAACACAGCTGTTACAGCCTCTAGAGACCTCCGCCGGCTCCTCAGTTGGTGTGCACAGATCTGTAATGTTTACTCATCTTGAGACGTGATCTTACTCTGTGGCCTTGACTGATCTGGAACTGCAAAGATCCACCTGTGCCTGCCTCTCAGAGCGCTGTGATTAAAGGCGTGTGCCACCATACCTAGCCTAATTTGTATGTTTTTAAAAAGATTTATTTATTCATATGTATGAATGTTTTGTTCGAATATACAATAAGCGCACCGTGTTCATTCCTGATGTGCACAGACACCGGAGCAGGTGGGGTCCCCTGGAACTGGAGTTACAGATGACTGTAAGCCACCATGCGGGTGCTGGTGTTGATCCCCAGGTCCACTACAAGAGCAACACATGCTCTGAACTCCCGGTTTTGTGTGGCTTTCAAACAACTGTCTTGTGAGGCCAGAGCGTTGACTCAGTGGTTGAGCGTGCTGGTCTGCAAGAGGACCTGAGTTTGGTTCCCAGCACCCACGTAAGGTGCTTCACAAGCCTGTGATTCCAGTTCCAAGGGATCCTACACCCTCTTCGGGCCCCCACAGGCACATGGTATGCACACACACACGAAAATATTTTGCAAGTTTTAAAAACTGGGCGTGGCGGCATATACCTTTATTTCTAGAAGGCAGAGGCTTTTTTTTTTTTTTTTAAAAAAAGCTTTGTAACCCCAAGAGGTAGGGCATGCTCCTCGGTCCAGCACTCAGGAGGTAGGAGGCGCGATCAGGAGTTCAAGGTCATCCTTAGCTACGTAGTGTTGTAAGGTCAGCCTGGAATATACAAGATCTATCTTAAAGACAAAACTTGAAACACACAAAGGTGGTATAGCGTATGGAATCCTGTGAACTTACACCTGAACTTTACTAGTTAGTGATTCACAGACACTAAGTCATATCTCATATCATAATTTGAAAAGATTTTTTAAATTTATAATTTTTTTCTTTTTAATTGTTGGGGTTTTTTTTCTTTCTTTTTTTTTTTTTTCAAGACAGGGTTTCTCTGTAGCCCCAGCTGTCCTGGAACTCGCTCTGTAAACCAGGCTGTTCTCGAGCTCACAAAGACCTGCCTACCTCTTCCTTCTGAGTGCTGGGATCAAAGGTGTGTGCCACCATGCCTGGCCTCCTATGCTTTTGAGGACATCATATAAGCCTTTTGCCATTTTTTTAAAGTTTATTTTTGCTATGTGTGGTGATTGTTTTGCCATGGATGTCGGGTCCTCTGGAACTGGAGTTACAGACGGTCCTGAGCTGTCAAGTGGGTGCTGGGAATTGAACCCGGGTCCTCTGAAGGAGCAGTCAGTGCACTTAACCACTGAGTCATCTCTCTAGCCCCGCCTTTTGCCATTTTTAATTAGGGTGTTTGATTTTCTTATTGAACTTTAGTTCTTTCTTTTTCTGGCAGGGCTGGGAATGGAACTGAGCCTCAGTGTGCCAGACAAGCCCTCTGCCGTGGGCGACATCCTCGGCCCCGGATGCTCTTGAAGTATTGTGGATGAGGTCCCTCATTGAACCCAGGACTGTTCTTTCAGGATTTGGAGCTCAGTAATTTTTTAAGCTTCCCAGGTTGAGAACTGTAGGGACAGTGACCATAATTAATGACCATCTTTATCTTTGTGTTGTTGCACTGAGCAGAGCATCCTTGAAATGCTTCCGCTTTCTGTGTCAGCAGGATGCTGCAGACGCATCTGTATTCTTTCTGTCTCAAGGAACTGAATCAGCTACCCGCTCTCGGCTCCTGTTGACTTCTGATAGATAGTATTAGTGGTGTTCGTTGAGGGGAGGAAACAGGACAGCCAAGGTTGACAGGTGGAAAATGTTTTAAGGTAACCCCTCTCTGCCTTCCCGAAGATCTGTGGACTCGCCCTCCACCCTGCGGCTGCTTCCATTCCTCCCGTCTTACAGCTGAGCAAGCTGAGACTGGACCAATGTGTGCCGCTGTCCAGGACTGCAGAGCGAGAAGTGCCAGGCCTAAGACTCAGCCCAAAGTGTCTGATTGCAGAAACCGCTCCTTCACCTCTCTAACCAGGCTGTCCTTGCACTTCTGTCTTCTGTCAGAATATAGAACTTAGGTTTAGTTGGTAGGGTGCCCTGGGATTCTTGCGGTGAGAGGAGGCACCCTTCATCTCATTGTCCTCCAATTTTCACACACGTGCCTTCACTCCTCTCCATTCACACAAAACAAATAAGTGAGATTTTTTTTTATTATTATTATGTTTGCTTTACTTTTGAGACAGGAACTCTCAGTGTAACTTGGCTGTTCTGGAACTCACTCTGTAGACCAGGCTGGCCTCGAACTCACAGAGATCTACCTGCCTCTGCGCCCCAAGTACTGAGATTACAGGCATGCACAATCATGCCTGGCTTTTTATTTAAAAAAGCCAGACTGTTGGTGCAAGTTTGTATGTAAGTGCTGCTGAGGAGGTGGGGACAGGTGGAGCCAGGGACTTACTGGAGCCAGACTAACCCGGTCTGGGGGCTGCAGGTTCAGTGAGAGATCCTGTTTCAAAATAAGGTGTAGGGTGATTGAGGAAGACACCCAAGGGTCCACCTTGGCCTCCTCTCCTCCTGCGCCTGCATACACAAACATGCGTGCACACACACAAACATGCACACACAAAAACATGCACGCACATGAACATGCTTACACACATGTGAACATGTGCACACACACGAACATGCACACACACAAACACAGGCTCCAGTTGTATTCTCTTTCTGCTTTCTCTGTTAGTTCTCCTATTGTCTTTCTGGCTTTGTGCAGGGTAAGGAGAAGAGCGACTATCGGTGTTTTCTTCTCTCCTTGCAGGACTCTGGAGTGAGGATAACAAGGAGAGCCCTCCAAGAGAAAGGCTTGAAAACAGAGCCCCTCAGGAGGCTTCTGCCCAGGAGAGGACTCCGGACAAACGTCCGGTCTGCTTCCACAGTGCCAGACACCAGAGCTCCAGGAGGTGGGAGCAAGGCCCAGAGGGCGCCCAGGACGATCCCACAGGGGAAGGGGAGGTGAGCGGGCCCATCCCGCAAGGTGAGGCCCTTAGGTCTTCTTTAGCTGCCCCAGGATCCACTCACCTCCTTGCACCGCTTCAGGGTGCAGAGAGCTTCAGAGGTGGATGCCTGCTGTGCGTACTTGGAGGTAGGCAGCCAGTCCTCCGCCTGTCCCTAACCCTAAATCTGGATCCATCTTGCTTGTTGTGGGTCCCAAACTGTGGGGCTTGGGGCAGGTCACAGACAACTAGCGCCTAAGGACGCCGCTGGGTGATGCCTAGAAGCAACTTGAGTATACAAAAGGATGGACCCCGGGTCGACTTGGCCACCTCTTCAAGCACCGGGGCAGCCATCCGCCAGCGGGCCAGGCATGGCCCCCAAGGTGGCACATTCGACCTTCGGAACCACAGGATCTACCCTGGTGAGCAGCCAGCAGTGTCTGAAGCATTGGGCAGTAGGTGCTAGGTGCTAGTTTGCAGTCTGCGAATGGTGTCCAAATCCATGCTTGTGTGGGAGCATACCCGTGTATAGACCGTACAGCTCCGGCAAGCACCCGGCAGCCTCCCCTCCCTCACAGGCCTGTGGACGCTAGGCCTGCCGATTAACCTTTGGCTCAAGAAGACACATGCCAACCTTGCCTGTCAGGCAAGGGGCACACATGAGCGATCTAGTGACCTCTCAGACCAGGCCACCACCTCCTGCTGGAGGACCCAAATCCAGGGATGGATGGAAACTTGTGGTCCAGCCCTGAGCCTGCCAAACCTACCTGGAAACGACCCGTTTTGAGAAACCCATGACAAACGAGCCATCTGAGTGGCTCCAAGGGCTTCTATCAACCTCTTGCCTCCTGACTTAACAACGTAGTGGGCCTGCCGTGCCAGGAAATGGCTCCCACTTGTTGAGGGCTTCCTCTACTACAGACTGCAGTTGTGGGAATTATTTAGTACAATATTCCAGTGTCATAGATCCTGTTAGTTTACATTTTACAGATATGGAAACTACATAGACAGGCGGTTGAAGAGCTTGCCCTAAGTCACACAGCCTGCCTGTGGCAGAACCAGCATTCCAACAGCTCCCTGCCTGCCCCCAGGCCCTGCTGGTACACCACTTCTCACATTGGGCTTGCTCTGGGGCTGAAGCTGTGAGGTTAAGGCATTCATTTATGGAGCACTCATTTTTCTCAGTGGAAATTCTATAGGACTTTTAACATTTAAAAAAATATTTTTTATTTATTTATTTTTTTCTGTCTCACTATGCAGCCTTTGCCTCCTGAGTGCTGGGACTCAAGGTGCGTAACACTACACCCAACTCAGGACATTTTTTTTTTAATAATAAAAAGAGCAGATGCCCTGTGAGAGGAAAGAATTTTGTGTCCGTAATGGAGATGCTATAGAAATATATGGTAAGGCCTGAGATTCCAGCTCAGCCCCCAGGCCCCTGGGTGACCTCTTTAGAGTCCTAATGCTGCAGGAAGGTCATCCCAGGCCCCACTCCCATGTGGAGGCTTCCCAGAAGCCACCAAAAGTGGCTTGTGCTATCCTGGGGAACTTCAAAAAGTAAAGATTTATTAGTTAAGACTTCTGAATTTCCAATGGGGCAGAAGTTTTCAAATTTCCAACAGATACTAATTTTCAGGAATTAGAAATGAAAACTAGGAATTCTGGGGAGATCCAGAAAAATCATCCTTTGTATTTTTTTTCGAACTCTCTGTACTTTAAAGACTAAGATGCTCGCAGTCAGTAGCAGTTTAAAAGAGCTTGCTGGCCATGGCGGGGGCGCACGACTTTAGTCCTCAGCAGAGGAAGGCAGAGGCAGGCGGGTCTTTCTGAGTTTGAGGCCAACCTGGTCTACAGAGCTAGTTCCAGGACAGCCAGGGCTACACAGAGAAACCCTGTCTCAAAAAAAAAAAAAAACAAAAAACAAAAACAAAAACAAAAAAAAAAAAACAAAGAAGAGCTCTAAGCCTTAAATATTCTAAAGGTGGAAACTGCCAGTGTGTGGCACTGGGTAGTATCTGAATAACACGATGTTTACAGATCCAGTTAGATTCATAGTAGCCACAATCATGAGTTGAAATTGCTGATACAAAAGCTTAGTTACAAATATATAATTTCTCAGAGCATCTTAGGATTTGCAGAAACTGTCCTATGCATGTGAGCACATTCATGTTTATCTTACTTGTGAGAGTCATCATCAAGAGCAGGGTCACAGAAGAGTGGACCGGGCAGCAGCAACCCAGATTCCGAGGATAGCCACCTAAACTCCATGTTAGTGTTTCCGGTTCCTGCTCTTTGACCTGATGCAGCGTTGGTTGTTAGAGGACAGCTAGTTACAATATGTTCTCTTTTCCCCGCAATTTATTTACTGATTGGTTTTGAGATTAAAACAAAGCAAAACAAAAAACAACCCCTCCCAGGTTTCCCAAAGAGTGTCAACAAGGAATTCTGAACAGAAACAGTCCTGTGGGCTGGGCAGCCATGATGAGCAAGTGTGCTGGTCCTTATGAAGCCCAGGCTTCGAAACTCCATGGAGTGGAACACCCCAGCTCCACCTGTCCCCGGCTGTGAGGCCTTGGCTGAACTACTTACCGCCCAGCTTCAGTTTAGTGGGTAGACTCATATCTAGGAAGGAATATTCTTGATTTTGTAAGGTAACATTGTGGAAAGGTTACCAGCATGGCTTTAGGGTCAGGCAGGCTGCTGTTCAAACTCTAGCTTCAGGGCTTCCTACCTCTTTGATTTGGGGCAAGTTCTAACCACTGGATTTTTCCCTTCTGTAAAATGGGGACGTGGATCTATTTCATAGGGCTGTGGTAAGTTTAAGTGAGGTCACGTATGAACTGCGTAGGCTGTACACGCTTGATCCACGTGGGCCAGGGTAGTCGTTACCCACTTATCTACCTCACCGGGCCGGTTGTGAGGATGAAGGGCGGCAGAGAATGCTGAGGACGCTGTCTAAGCTATGAGGTGACAGTAACTTGCCAGTCTTCCCTCTGGAGATGGGGAGATAGGAAGTTATGCCAGATGTCAACAGAATGCCCAAGGAGAGGGACGGGCATGCTTCTGGCCAGACGGTGTGGCCGGGCTGAAGGGGAGGGGCCAGTCTGGGCAGCCAGAGAACAGGTGCGCATGCCCTCCCTCGGGTGAGGGTTGCTCCAGTCAAGTGGGCAGTCCAGTGCGTACGTCGTAACCCTTGGGGACAGGGAGAAAACAGGTTCAGTTTTAAGAAGGATGCTAGCTGAGGGGCTAAAGGAGAGAAGTGTTTGCCCAGCGTGAGCAAGGGACATAGATTTCATATCTAGCACCTCAGGAAAAATATAAACAAACAAACAAACCAAAACCAACCAAACAAAGATCCTCTTCTTGGTTAAAGGTTTTGACCGAAGAACAGTGTTCCGTGGATGCATCCACAGTGTGCTTTTAAATAGGACTCGAAATTGCAGAAAGGACCGTGTGGGAATCGGTGAGAGGTGGCTGGGTGCACGTTTAGGAACTGTTTCCATTGGCTGGAAGCCAGCAGCCTCCTCCCGCGAGTGCAGAGTGCAGACCAAAGCAGCTCCGAGGGCCCTCTGAAGACGACGTCCCACGATCCTGGTAGTAGCTTCACACAGTAAACCCTCAGATTAGAGATGGGAGTGCCATGCTCACGCATGCTCTGTCAGGACAGGATCCAGGCCTTTCACCGGCACTGAGCTTCCTGCACCCACCAGCATCACACCGCTGATCCCGAGCAAGGAAGGAGTTAGTGCTGTGTCTAAGCACCCTCTCCTCCTGGCCTAGCAGCAACTCCTGATCTTGCTTTCACTCCTCCTCCTCCTTTCCCTGTAAGTCAGGATCCTCCGGGTGCCACCCTTAGACTTTCTTTAACAAACCATGAGGGTGCTCTCATTCACCAGACTGCCTCTCCGAACACAGTTGCACTCAGCTCCTTGCCTTCTGGGCATCTGGGCTCCCAGCTCACTCCAGCGTCATTCCCTCCACACGCCCCTCATGAGTTCCCATTCTTTAACCCCAGCCCTTCAGTTTCAAGCTGACTTGGCAAGTGGGCAGTCAATTCAGGGCTCCTTCAACGTCAGCGCCTCTTGATCAAACTCTTGGGACTAAGGGTTAAGGGCAGGGCTGAGAGTTGCCAATAGCTTGGAGCTGAACTTAGAGAGTGGGATTTGCCCTCTCATCACCTAGCTGGTTACTTGGTGCCCACGGCCGTGCCAGCTTCAGTAGCTAGTGCAGGAAATACACTCGTGAGCAGAACAGACCCAAACCCTGGCTTCAGGGAGCCTCCAGGCAACTGGGGAAGATAGGCTGGCATCCAGTTCTTCCTGAATACCAATCCTTAGCCTGGCATGGTGGCACACGCCTATAATGCTAGCCCTTTGGGAGGTAGAGGTAGGAGGATCAGGAGTTCAAGGTTAACTTTGGATACTTATCAAGTTAGAGGCCAGCCTGGGCTGCATAAGCCTCTGTCTCAAAAACAAACACAGTAACCCTGTAACCTGTGAAGTACGTGGAGAGTTCAGGGTACTGTGAAAGCCTAGGACATAGAGATGGGGTGTGTCAAGACAGCGCCAATGTGGGCCCGCAGTATGGAGAAGGGAGTTCTATGTAAAGGCAATAATAGACCCTCAAAGGGAGGAAGCGCTTGCTGTGTTGGGAAGCAGCAATGCTGTCCTTGTGGCTGAACTGAGCCTCAGTGGGGATGATGTCATAGACCTTACAGACCGTGTTGGTGTTAAAGTCTGATTTGGAAACAATTTCAGAATTCCCGGAAAGTCACGAGAGCGGTACAGACGAAGTCTGCATACTTTGACGGCGAACTCCCCAGTGTAAGCGTTTTGTTCGGCTTGACTTATCCCCGGCGTCTACCTGTACTGTGTCCTCGTACCTTGTAGTCTGAACTCGGAGAGTAAGTTACATACACCATGTCTGTTCACACTCACAATACAGTGGCTGTTTGCTAACGCCTCGCTCGCTTCCCTGAACTTCTCGCTGCTCAGACGGTGGCTCAAGCTCTCCTTGTTCGTTAGTGGCTCTCTCTAGTCACCTTTATTAGCGTCTCCCCTCTAGGACAAAATCAAGTCTACGAACGCTGTGGAGCATACGTTGTGGTTTCTTGCTTGTATCTTTTAATGTGGCATAGACTTTCTTTCCTTTGTTTGAATAGACAATTTCTCCTTTTGGGTCTGTCTGCTGTTTCTTTGTTACTGTGTATGTGCTATGCATTCATGGTTGGGAGAATGTGTAAGTGATTGTCCTTCCTCAGCGTCCCAGTGAAGGCACACAACATCTATCTGTTCCTCTGGTGATATTCAAAAAAAATTTTTTTGAGACAGTGTCTCTCTGTAGCCCTGGATGTCCTTGAGCTTGTTATGTAAACTTGAACTAATGTGCCTGTCTCCCGTGAGCTGGAATCAAAGGCATGCAAACTACATTTCTCTCTCTCTCTCTCTCTCTCTCTCTCTCTCTCTCTCTCTCTCTCTCTCCCTCACTCTCTCTCTCTCTCTTTGGCAGGGGTGGGGGGCAGTTTCGTGACAGGATTTCACTGTGTGTAGCTCTGGCTGGCCTCAAATTCACAGAGATCTGCCCGCCTCTGCATCCCAAGAGCTGGGATTAAAGGCATGCACCACCACAGCCTGGTCTACATGTTTTTTTTCAAGACAGGGTCTCACTATGTAGCTCTGACTGACCTGGAACTCGCTTTGTAGACCAGGCTGGCCTCTCGAGTGTTGGGTTTAAAGGCGTGTGCCACCACGCTCAGCTAGCAATATAATTTTTCAAAATTTGTCTTTAGGGCTGGAGAGTTGACTTAGTGGCTAAGAGCACTGGTTTCTCTTCGAGAGAACCCAGGTCCATTCTCAGAACCTACATGGCAACTCACAGTAACTTTAGTTCCAGGGGATCTGATGCCCTCTTCTGGTCTTGGAGGGCACAGCACACTGCACAGACGTACATGAACGCAAAACACCCATACACATAAAACAAAACCCTATCATTTTATCCCGACTTCAATGAAATGATGACCTGGCGGGATTCAATTTGTGTCTCATCCCACCCTGAGTGCCATGTCAGAGTGAACTAGTCAAGGAACTAAGGATTCTGGGGCTGTTGAGGTGTTCCTCTGTGAGGGGTACCGAGGTGTGTGGCAGGAGACCCTCCCACGGGCCTGGAATGCCTCATGCGCTCTTAGCAGACCACCGGGTGGCAGGGTGATTGATCTGGGTCTTAGGATTGTTCTGCCAGCCGGAAAGATGATTCGGGAGGCTGCGGCGCTGTTTCCATCTTTCTAAACCAGCTCTTTGTTGCCGCCGAGGGTTCTCTACCTCAGATGTCCCCGTGCCTGAGTATGGCCTTGTTCATCTGAGTGTATGGTGATAATCATGAAACCCGTGTCAGCTGTGCTTGCCCGGACAGCTTACAGTCGGGCCCAGGCGGTATCTGTCTCAGCTGTGCTTACCTGGACAGACCCAGGTCACCTGTCTCAGGTATGCTAATCCGGACAGCTTACGGTCAGTCTGCCAGCAAACACCTCTCTCCCTGACAACATTGTGGCCAAGGTCACGCCACCCAGTCCTCCCTCGCACTGTGGGAAATGAGTCCAAGTCTGGCTGAACATCGTGGAACATCCTCTTAGAGGCCGGTGCGTAGGAAGCCACAGTCTTGCCTGTGAAGTGCTTAACGCAATGGCAGGAATTTAAGAGACTGGAGAAAGCTGGATGCCGTGAAAATCCACGCAAGGCAAGGTTGCTTCTAGTGGGAGAAATCTGGGTAAGTCAGCAGAGAAGGTGGCATTTGACCTGAGCCTTGAGTGCAGAGAATGCTGGTTTCTGCTTTACAAAAGAAATATTTAATTATTCAGTAAATAAGGAAATTTTTAAAAAGCAAAGCCCATATCTTTATTTGTCATTGATATTTTCAAACATGATTAGTGTTGGTTTCATGATACTCCATTAGGCAGATAATCCACACTCACACCCCATTGTTGAAATAATCCATCCTGGGGGCTGGAGAGCTGGCTCAGTGGTTAAGAGCACTGACTGTTCTTCCAGAGGACCCAGGCTCAATTCCCAGCACCCACATGGATGCTCATGATTGTCTATAATTCCAGTTCCAGGAGATCCGACATGCAAAACACAGTGCACTAAAATAAATGATATTTTAACTATTCTTCACCTCCATCAAAGGCTGCAGGGGGTTTAACATTACCTAAGTAAACAGGAAGTACGTTGTAAGCAACTTCAAAACTCTAGAAATGACAGAGACATCTCACTGCTTAGACAGTCACCCAAAGCTCTTGTGTAACATTGGGGCACTCAGTCTTCAGCCTACAGGCCCAGACTTTTCCATGAAGCAGGAAATGTCAAAGACAGTTCCACCTATACTGGCAGTTTGTCAGTCACTTTCTTCTGTGTCCTGCAGAATGACTGGCAGACTCGTTCATGAAGCAGGAACCCCGAAGGATCGTCTCGCCTTTAGGCAAGTTCAGCAGTCACTTCTTTGTGGATCCTGCATGTCCAGTTCATACAGTACACACAAAGAAAAATAATAAAACTACATCTTTAAAAATTATTATTTTTTTAATATTTATTTATTTATTATGTATACAATATTCTGTCTGTATGCCTGAAGGCCGGAAGAGGGCGCCAGACCTCTTTACAGATGGTTGTGAGCCACCATGTGGTTGCTGGGAATTGAACTCAGGACCTTTGGAAGAGCAGGCAATGCTCTTAACCACTGAGCCATCTCTCCAGCCCCTAAAAATTATTTTTAAATAACATTTTTTAATCTTGACTTATTTGTGTCCTAAGGATATCTACGTCTACATATACAGAGAGCGAGAGAGAAACGTGCCTTAAACAAGGCGGAAATTGAGTGATATCTGAGGTGTTATTTGTCCTCTCCATGTGTACAATAGCACAGGAACGCCCACACTTGCCCATTCAACCATTAATTAATTAATTAAAGAAGCGAAACCCCTTCAAGCTAATTACATCCGTGAGTCAGGCTGGGAGCTCAGGCTCTGGAGACAAAGAGCGAGGGGAGGGAATCCAGCTCTGCTATTTATTAACTTAGGTGCTTTTCTGTGAAACGGAGACAATAGGTGTGAATCCGTAAACACTTCCTGGTGAGTATTCAATTGGCTAAAATGTGCCATGGTGGTCATTGTTATGTTGCCTGGCTGACCAGTGGTGACACTTGGGCCTCTGGAGCAGAAATAGGAAGCTTTAGTCCCCTCACCTTGTTTTTTGAGACAGGGTCTCTGTGTGTAGCCCTGCTTGTTCTGGAACTCTCTGTGTAAACCAGGCTAGCCTCAAACTCTCAGAGATACACCTGCCCCTGCCTACCATGCTGGGATTAAAGGTGTGCACCACTACACTTGGCTGAAAGATTGAAAACGGAACTGGCTGGTCACTCAGAGCAGCCAAAAGGAAAAACCCACTTATGTCTATCAGCAGGTGTACCCACTAACTCATCAAATAAGGAGTGTGCATATAATGGGTATTTTTTCAGTCTTAAAAGAGAATAGAATTCTGATCTAGTATGGGTGGGCTCCGACATTATGTTACATGAAGGTCCAACACAGAGACACCAAGATTGAAGAGACGACTCGGAGGTGAAGAGCACCGGATACTTCTCTAGAGACCTGGGAGTTTTTGATTCCTCACATCCACCTGGCAGCTCACAGCCATCCTGAAGTCCAGTCCCAGGGGATCTGATGTCCTCTCCCGGCCTCTGTGGGCACCGCATGCTGATGATACACAAACACATATGAAGGCAAAACACCCTTAGAAGTAAAAAAAAAGATAAAATTAAAAAAGCAAATATCATAAATTCCACTTATATTAGACACCTAGTTCAGAAACATAATGTAGAACAAAAGTAATCAGAAAAGAGCAGGAAGCATAACCTGGGGCTATGCCTTCTATTTATTTATTGTCTATTTATTTATGTATTTATTGTATATACAGTGTTCTGCCTGCATGTATGCCTGTAGGTCAGAAGAGGGCACCAGATCCCACTGTAGATGGTTGTGAAACACCATGTGGGTGCTGGGACTTGAACTCAGGACCTCTGGAAGAGCATTGAGTGCTCTTAACTTCTGAACCGTCTCTCCAACCTCCAGGGGGTTCTGTTTTAATTACTGTGGAATCGAGTTTATTAAAAAGGCTCCTGAGCCAGGCAGTGGTGGCATATGCCTTTAATCCCAGAATTTGGGAGTCAGAGGCAGGTGGATCTCTGTGATTTTGAGGCCAGCCTGGTTTACAGAGTGCGTTCTAGCACAGCTAGGGCTACACAGACAAACCCTGGCTTGAAAAAAAAAAAAAAAAAAAACCAAACAAGCAAAAAAGGCTCCTGAATGGACAGAGGATGTCAGGGCAACATTGTAAATATGTGTAGTACACAGCACATAGACCTTTCATCTAACGTGTGCAACATTGTAAATGTGTGTAGTACATAGCAATAGACCTTACATCTAACGTGTGCAACAGTGTAAATGTGTGTAGCACACAGCACATAGACCGTACATCTAACGTGTGCAACAGTGTAAATGTGTGTAGCACACAGCACATAGACCGTACATCTAACGTGTGAAACATTGTAAATATGTGTAGTACATAGAAATAGACCTTACATCTAACGTGTGCAACATTGTAAATGTGTGTAGCACACAGCACATAGACCGTACATCTAACGTGTGAAACACTGTAAATATGTGTAGTACATAGAAATAGACCTTACATCTAACGTGTGCAACATTGTAAATGTGTGTAGCACACAGCACATAGACCGTACATCTAACTGTGCCTGTCCTGCTGAGGTGCACTGTGGAGGTCAGAGGACCACTCCCACGAGTCACTTCTCATCTTCTACAGTGCAGGTCTTGGGATCAAACTCAGGCCCTCAGACGTGGCAGCAAGCGCCTTTTCCCACAGCTATTGTGCTGGTCCTGTAAATGTGTATATTTATTTACAATGTTTACCTTTTTGAGACCAGGTTGTTCTATGTAGTCCTGATTGAACTTGAATTTGGGATCTCTCTACTGGGCTTACAGGTGTTTGCCCCTATTTCTGGCTTATAAGTGTATTTAGTACCATGGAATTTTGCATTTAAAAGGGTTTGGTAAATTTCTCTTTAAAAAAAAAATCAAGCTGGGTGTAGTGGTGGATGCCGTTAATTACAGAGGAGAGGGATCTCTGTGAATTAAAGGCCAGACTGGTCTACATAATGACTTCCGGGCCAGCCAGGGCTACACAGGGAAACCTGGTCGTGAAAAGGAAAATAAGAAATGCATCACAGGCTTCTGCCCTCCGTGGGAACCAGGTAAGTAGGTGATGCACAGATGTGCAGGCAAAACACTCGTACAATAAAATAAATAAATCTAAAGAAAGACTCAAGCTGTTTCCCAGTAACAGAGCTGCATCATAAATTAAATGCAAGATTTATCTGAAGAAGAGGTATTTATAAGGGGTGGGGTGGCTCAGCAGGTAAAGGCGCTCGCTACCCAAACTGGCAAGCTGAGCTCAGACTCTATAACCCACATGATGGAAGGAGAGATCCAACTCCCAGACATTGTCCTCTAACATCCACATTCATGCATGGCTTGGATACACATACACATGCATGCACACACA